ATCCGATTCGGTCACCGGTCAGACTGTCGTCGACCCGAAGGGATACTTAACTGATTTACAGTCAATGATTCCAAGCCATGGCGCAGATATCAGGTATGAAATTATATTGATTTTTACAATGAATTTAGTGTTGATTACAATTTTCATTTGAAGTGATATTAAAAAAGCGCGACTACTGTTGAGGTCAGTCCGGGAGACAAACCCGAACCACTCGCCCGCTTGGATAGCTTCGGCTCGACTCGAAGAAGTGACCGGGAAATTACAAACGGCTCGCAATCTAGTGATGAAAGGCTGTGAGATGTGTCCCAACTCTGAGGACGTGTGGATAGAGGCGGCGCGTCTCCAACCGGCAGACTTAGCGAAGTCAGTGATAGCTCAAGCCGTCCGTCAAATACCGACATCCGTTCGACTTTGGATTAAAGCCTCGGAATTAGAGCAGGAAATGAAAGCCAAGAAAAAGATATTCCGTAAGGCTTTAGAACACATCCCGAATTCGGTCCGATTGTGGAAAGAGGCGGTCGAACTCGAAGAGCCCGAAGACGCGCGCATACTATTGAGTCGAGCGGTCGAGTGCTGTCCCACTAGTGTTGAGCTATGGCTCGCACTCGCGAGACTCGAGACCTACGATAACGCACAGAGAGTACTGAATAAAGCCCGAGAAAACATTCCAACCGATCGACAGATTTGGATAACAGCCGCCAAACTAGAAGAAGCGCAGGGAAAGACACCAATGGTTCAGAAAATCATTGACAGAGCCATCACGTCGTTCACGGCTACGGGCGTCGAAATAAATCGCGAGCAATGGCTTAAGGATGCGATGGAAACGGAAAAGTCTGGATCTGTTCAGACGTGTCAATCGATTGTGAGGGCTGTCATCGGGTACGGCATCGATGACGAGGACCGGAAGCACACGTGGCTCGAAGACGCCGAGAATTTTGCGAACCAGGATGCTTTTGAATGCGCCCGAGCTATATATGGTCACGCGATTAAGACATTTCCCTACAAGAAGTCCATTTGGTTGAGAGCCGCGTATTTCGAGAAAAATCACGGAACGAGAGAAAGCCTTAAGAGTCTATTACAGGACGCCGTCCGCAACTGTCCGCAGGCAGAGGTCTTGTGGCTAATGGGCGCTAAGTCCGAGTGGTTGGCCGGTAATGTCAAGTCCGCGCGAGACATACTGTCGCTCGCCTTTAAGGCCAACCCAAACAGTGAGGAGATTTGGTTGGCGGCCGTTAAGCTCGAGTCTGAGAACGAAGAGTACACCAAAGCCAAGAAATTGCTGCAAAAGGCCCGACAGAGTGCTCTCACCGCTCGAGTTGTGATGAAGTCCGCGAAACTCGAGTGGCAGTTGGGAAACATCGCCGAAGCGAAGGCACTGCTCGTCGAAGGCATCGAGAAATACCCCAATTATCCGAAGCTATGGATGATGTCCGGACAGATCGCACAACAGGAACGACTAATCGATTCGGCCAGAGATGCCTTCGCTAATGGTCTCAAGAATAATCCCACGTCTGTTCCGCTTTGGATACTATTGGCACGACTTGAAGAGAAATGTGGAGCTCTTATTAAAGCGCGTTCTGTCTTAGAAAGGGCTCGACTTCGGAATCCCAAGTGTCAGGAGTTATGGTTGGAATCAATTAGAGTCGAGAAAAGGGCTGAAGAGAACAAAAGCGTTACTATGCCTATAGCTATGCCAATGATGGCCAAAGGTTTGTATTAATATCTGATTTGTTTTGTGGAACTAATAGTTTTGCATCTATTCTCCAGCCCTACAAGAATGTCCTCAAAGCGGTCTCCTTTGGTCTTCGGCTATATTTATGGAAAATCGTCCGCAAAGACGGAGTAAAAGTGTGGACGCATTGAAACGCTGTGAACACGACTCGAATGTATTGCTCGCGTGTTCTCTACTCTTTTGGACCGAAAGAAAACTGAATAAATCTCGCGAATGGTTTAACCGAACGCTCAAAATAGATCCCGATTTCGGCGATTCGTGGGCTTATGCTTACAAATTCGAAGTTCTTCACGGATCCCAAGTATGACACCATTGAGTTGTGGCCATTGTTTTCATGAACTCATTCTGCTTTCAGGAACAACAGGAAGACATTAAGAAGAGATGTTGTGCTGTTGAGCCCAGACATGGAGACAACTGGTGTCGGGTTTCCAAAGACGTGTCCAATTGGAGGCTCACGACTGAAGAGATTCTCGAGAGAACCGCTAATTTGTTGCCGATTCCCACATAAAATCAATGATTCATGATGATAATGATGATAATTTATGATTACTGTATAATGAATATATTGAATACTGTATAACCGTTTGATGATTACTCGACATACTGTTCATATAAAATGATTCATTTACTGATATTGTTTTTAGTATGAACAGTTTTAGTCACAAATATTCTACTAAAAATGTGCTAGTACAGTATAATATGCTATTCCTATGACAACAATGACGTCAAAGGGTCAAAAGGTTAACCCGGATTACTCCGGATTAAAGTGAAAGATGTCTAATCCAAACCATTTGTGACTTTTTTTTAAAAACTTTTCGACAACTTTTGAAAGTTTCCATTAGAATCCAATGTATTGAACCATATTTTGGTGCCCTCTATCAGACACACAGTTCTAACAGAGTTTACTGTCTGTATTGAGTCAATACTATTGACCATAATATTGACCACACGATCACATCCAACACAATGTCTTCAATGCATTCAAATGAACGACTCATTAATGAGTACTTAAGCGACGATTCCTTGCTTTCAATCTTTCAATTCATACCAATCGCACAACTCTTCACTTTAAGACAAGTCTGCAAACGGTTCCAACAATTGGGCGATTATGCGCTCAAACTTCGCACAAGTATTGCGGTTACCATCAAATCAGATGATAATAGCGATGACGAGGAGTACGAGTCCAGAAACGACTGCTGCGATCCAAGACATGGCTTCACATCCAATGATTGCATCCATAAGACGTGCCGTACTGTCAAAGACGGCTCAAGAACTCTATATGTGTTGAGTGAACAACATTTGCACCAATTGTTCACTTTCTGCCCGAATGTGAAGGCATTGAGTCTCGAGTCGACAATCTTTGACCGAAATGTGTGGAAATACTTCGGCCACAACTGTCCTCCGGGTGTCCAACACCTGGACTTTTCCAACTCTCAGGGACTCATCGACGAAGTGATCGGCTTTATTGTCGCCAAATGTGGCCCAACTCTGGAGCACATTGTCCTCAGAGACAGTGATATCAGCGAAGCATCGCTTAAACATGTGCTGCAAAAGTGTCCGAAACTGGAGATTCTGGACGTGAGTCGAAACGTGAGGATTAGTGGCCACTGTTTGTCACTTTTGCCGCAATGTGTCAAACATTTGGCGCTTAATAACTGTTGGAATATAGGCTTCGATGGCATTCAGTCACTCGTCTCCGGAAGCGCTAAAACTCTGCAAAAACTCGAAATAAATGGAGAATTCATTGATAACGAGATGTTGGAAGAGATTTGCGATCATTTGCTTGATTTGAATCACTTAGAGATGGACTGCTCTAACGTTAGAGAGAAACGAGTTCTGCAAAGACTGTCAAACTTTAAACGATTGGAACAATTGATTCTCGTTTTGCCGACAATTAATTTCGACAATATTTTAGTTGA